TATTCATTGTGCTTATCACTTATCATTTGTTTTTAGAATAAATGACTTTTTTTCAATTTGGAAAAGGGCAAATTTTACCAAATTTTGACCACCGACCACGGTGTAATAAAAAAACAAACACTTAAGGTTCTCGTCACTGCGTTGGGTCACACAACGATTCACTCACAATGTTGGGAATCAGATTCGTGCAAATGGATTATTCCTTCATCCGAAAGTATGCAATGACATCAAAGATGACACATTCTTCTGTTTCAGTTAACGACGATGGTGGAAATGGTGATGTTGATGACGTCCGTGACATCTTTAATGCTGTTGATGCTACTGGTCGGGATAACAATGCTGAAGGAAAATGGAATACGCAATTTGTCAGAAACTAAGCAACTGTAGCTTGAATCCGTTGAAAGCACGAATTGTGTGCTTCGACTTGTAATGAATGTCACGTTGCGTTGATTGAATGTCTGTCAGAGGCGTTATAAAAATAAATAGTGTATATAGTTCCAACAAATGATTTTGTTCTTTAAACAAGAATATTAGTCGATATATGATATAAATGGTAACGCAAAACACAAACGCATCTATTATAGTTAACTAACGAAGTGAACCTTGTTTAATAGCCTTAAACCATGCGGGTGCCTCCATAGGGTAGCGTTAAAAGAACGACACGTGTACTGGTTAGTATTAACAACGTTGCACATCTAACGTTTAGTTTTACGCCATTGCCAGCAATTTCTTAATAACAACACATCGAGGATACAAACATTGGGCTTCACTCAATGTACCTGAATAGGGATCGAATTCAGGGTTCCGACGTGACGAGTCGTGACGCTTAAACAACCTGGTTACCTAAGCCGGTAAAAACGAATATTAGATCAGCTGCTTGACCTTCAAAGTGCAATGGGTCCAGCCTCAAAATGGATTTATACAGCTATCCTTCCTGATACGAATACGATATATGCTGCAGTTAGGCAGAACACATGCATTTGATAATCATCTCGTTGCATGAGCTTTCCTGTTGTGGACATTCCTTTCGTGTGCCAAAATAACAACAATGCATTCAGACATTGTATATCAAAGGAGCGAGGTGCACTTTTGTTATTTAAATGTTATTTCCTGATGCGCCACTGGCCTTTTGCCTGAGGGCCTCTCGTGTAATAATCCTTTGAATATTGTGTGCCGACGAGTGCTTCGTGCTCCGTGTCGGGAAACATTCACCGGCATCACTCAACCAAAGTGCGAACAAAAGAACCAAGTCAGCATATTTGAATAAAATAACCTTTACTAAATCAATTTTATGGTAATGGTGAAAGGTCAAAAGCTTATTCATCTCCGTTTCACAGCTGTGTATAATTTCTATGTAAAACGCCCCGTGGTCTTCCAGACTACAAAGTTTAGACGTCCAGGCAAGCAGTCAGACAGACTGTTTATTATAGTTTCATTCCCAGGTGCATTAAAATTACATTAACATCAGACCTTTGAACTGCAGTTCATGGACCGTTCCTTGTGAAGTTACTTAAACTTTAATTAAATATCATTAGAAATATTTTGCAACAGATTAAAACGTAAGTCAACATAAGCAGGACAAGTAAGTATTAAACAGATTTTCTATCAAACTGTTTTTACATGTACGTTGGTGGACAGGAAGGTTCTGAAAACCTCTGGTTTTAATTCCAATGGGAGCAACACCGCGCCTAGATATAGCAAGAGCGCTTCTGAAGCTTCCGGTCGTTTAAGCTTTTACGTTCTAGTATTCTGTGGATAATGCTCCTTCAAGGTTTCTATACCTGTGCCTCATTTTTAAACGATAGGTTCTCAGTTTACCGGTGTTGCTCAATAATCTTTCTGACCAAGGAGCCACCTTCCCCGTGACGTTGCTTGAGATAATTATGTAAACAAATTAAACATATAAATGCTAGAAGATCATCAGTTTTGTGTCTCTCCAAAGGCAAACTAATTATGAAATTATATCATTGGATGACTGAAGTAATTGATGACACCAGAAATAGAAAAAGACTCCCGAGTTTAGGAGTGAATTAACTCCAGTTTACAATAACATGGATAACAGGGTTAAAGGTTAAATAACATTATTGTTGAGACGATACAGAGAAATAGGTTGGGACTGAGGAATATACTTTGGTGTACTGTGCTTCTGTACATGTTTTCCGATTTCATTATGTCTAGTCTTAACGTATTTTTATTTCACTTATTGATAATAATTAATATTTTTTATGTATTAAACTAAATTATGATAACATGATCTAGTTTATGTAACCTTCATTGGTTAGAATGGAATAAACTTCAATTCTCGGGCAATGATGCATAGGCAATCAGCTAAATCAGCGCCAGTTTCTATAACCAGCTATGCGTCATTGCCTGTATTCACATGTCTCTGTGTATCATTTTAGTTCATGGCCTGAAAGAAAAAAATCCTAGGTACTTAAAGTTCTCACGAAGGTGCAATGTACTTGCTACATGCATGCATGGCCCATGGAACAAACGCAAATATAAAAACATACACAATCTAAAACATAATTTACAAATATTAAACTAATGATAACGGTGAACCCTCCGTTCCTTTAAAATACCACGCAGGTCTTGGCTGTTATTTTTTAAAAATGGGACTAGACATTTAATACGATAACTTTTCCACATGTGTAGAATTCATGAAATTACCATTTACAACTATGCACTTATCCAACAAACATTTTTTAAAAGACTTATATAAAGTGCATTTCATCTTCAACAACATTCAAACAGTTAAAACACACTCTTTCATTTAAAGACATATTACTGTAGCGCCCAGTTCCTATTAACAAGGGGTCAACACCGCATCTAAACATGGCTATCGCTCTTCTGTGGCCTCGTGGGATGTTACCAGAAATGTAGCGTTCCGCTCAGTATGCGAAATAGTTTCCAAATTTTGCTAGTCACTCGGGCTAGCTATGCCTGAAAGTTACTATCCCTAAATTTGAATGTAGAAACTAAGCAAAAGTTTACAAAAATAGATGAGAATAAGATTTTGTCGGCATGACACAGGTTTCATCATTAAGCTGCTGATAAGATGAACATTTTTATCAGGCCATAATCTTATATGATTTATAAGTGTATTCTAACTTAACAAGTAGGAGAGAGTGATATATTTACAAAATGAAAATTCACTAGCCAGTCAGGCCAGATTTACTGGCCCTACTGGATTTTTACGAGCCACGGCCAGGCGGGCCAGTGGCTATTTCGCACACTCGTTCCGCTCCATAGTTCGTCTTAAAAGTTCTGTAGTGTCGAAGTTTATTACCTCCCTTGCCATCTCGACTGGTCGGGCAATCTATCTTCTTCTTCCAGTTCTCATAACATCTCTCTCGTACTGCCCTCTGAACTTTGTGTACAACTTCCTTCACACGTAATCCATTATTAACTTCTTCTAAATCAGTCAAGTTTAGTGATATCAGCTTCACGTGTAAGCGTCTTTTTTTCTTTCGTGATGCCATCTGTTCGGTTCAGTTAAAAATCTTAAAAGTACGTCTATCGGGGTTTAGGCTGTCAAGTCTGGTGTACGTTCTCATCACAGTCCCCCAGAGTTTCACCAATGAACACACGCAATTTACGAGAAGGTACTTGTCACATGCAAGCGTGACCCAAGCCACGAGATGATACTAGCCAAACATAGTGACTAAATGGTCTTGTATCAGTTCCTGGAACTTGTTATTTCAACTCTGCATTATGTTTGTTGCCTGCATATCACCAGTGTTATCTGGCTACAATCGGAGATCTACGCCATTTATTGCTGTTGGTTAATTTGCAGAACGGTGGTCAACGTATTCGTCTCTGATTCCCTACTGGGACGTCGTGTGAATGCTGATCAACAGGTCGACGTCCTGGTGTATACCAGTTCATTATCTGCTGATAAATCCACACTTCGTATAACTTGTTAACCTTCAGTACCGATCGCTCATTACGGGTGTTTAGTCTTCGATTTGTTTTACACTCCACTGGTTAGTTTTATCTCCTTCATTATTCAATTATGTAAATTAAAACCCTTTCCTTATTCATTAGACATCACATCTGAGTCGAGTACGTCCGACTATATCAAGAATTCATATATAAATCACTACAAACAAGGTGATAAAACCAGGTGTTGGCCAAAGGATAAGCGTATCATACACCATTGATTGTCCTTTTCGGACACGCATGTAAAGGCAAGTCAATGGTGTACCTGAAAAATAATGTAACATCACTTGGTGCCAGTGAAAATAGGAACTTGCATCACAAAATCATAATTTACTGTTGTGTCAGAAGCTTCAAAATGTTTATCATATTTATTTTTGAAAATAGTACAAAAATATTAATGTTGGTTTTGTCCTGTTGATATACTACATCTAATTTCCTAAACCATTCCTAAGAGTATCACTGCTGCTTCTATGTCATCATGCAAAGGTCTAACTCAAAGTCAAACAAATATGTACGTACATGTACAGACTGAGTGTAGATCTGACAAGTACGACTTTAGCCATTGGTTATTGGAGGGAGGGTATCAACAACTAATCTCCGTACACAGCATCCAATCGGATCACAAGCATTCATCTGCACCACATATCTGTCCTTTGAAACACAATTCTCACCATGTTGCTTTTCACGCCCAGTGGGATTTGGGCTGTATGGAATGGAGCAGTATTGATTATCATTTTACGTGTTCAAAAGGACTAAAATGAATAAATAATCCGTAAATACATATAATATGTACATGCTTTTCCCAGTACATCATTTGTCCTCACAGATGTTGTCTCATGAAAGGATGCTTTTATATGTGACTTAAAATGACAAAAGAACCAACTGCGACAATTGTGTTAAATCACAATTATTACCATATTTTTTATTTTTTATGGTGTTTTTGGAAAAGGGACAGTTCATTTTTAATGTTCTATACATATATATTTCGCTGTGTAGACTGTCACGGATAACAACTCCATTCCTCGGTATGATTCACTGCAGTATTTGACTGTCCATGTGACATACACTAGGTTGTCCATCCGAAACATACACACGCACGCCAGCAGCCTTTAGGAAGCCACCCCAAGAGTCACTGAGGTAAAACCTTCTCAATCAGATGATCAACATTTATGCAATAATCTTCCCTAGTATTTTGTCTCAGTGTTCAGACTTAAGCTTCTAGAATATTTGACAGTCTATGCAACTTGATGTCATATATACTGTACATTTCGTTGGACAAAAATACAGCTCTTCTGACAACTTCAGCATAAAAATGTAAATAATATTTTTGTTGAAATGTTACTAGGAGGACAGCTTCAAGAAAGTATGACTACTGTAATGATCAGGTTTAAACATTCTATTAGTAATTATGTCGTTTCATACTTACGTGTTTAATAAGGAAATAATACACTTTGTTGTCTGCTTGTTTCAGTTTTCATTAACAGGTAAGTAGGTTATAATCTGTGCAGAGCAGTATTTGGTCATAATATATGTTATGTATTAAATCATGTTTACAGTTGATTTAAAACACCCGCAAGATTTACTGAAATGAACCATGTTCCGATTGTAAAACATGATTGCATTTCCAAACATATGTATCGGGACGTGGGTCACCTCGTGTTTATTCTTTAGAATATATCAAACCGTGGAAGAGAGGTGTTAAAGGTTCTAACGCAGTTTGTGAACATCCGTTTAATGGAGCCTAACTTTGTTTACAGTTGATTTAAAACACCCGCAAGATTTACTGAAATGAACCATGTTCCGATTGTAAAACATGATTGCATTTCCAAACATATGTATCGGGACGTGGGTCACCTCGTGTTTATTCTTTAGAATATATCAAACCGTGGAAGAGAGGTGTTAAAGGTTCTAACGCAGTTTGTGAACATCCGTTTAATGGAGCCTAACTTTTCATCCTTTTCATAGTAGTACATTATTTTTGTTGAGACAATACAGATTGTTTTCGGTGATAGTTGCTGAATCTTATTTGAGATGGTTGTTTGACAGGTAAAGGTCCCACGTTTTTAGAATCAGTTTGGTGTTATCCTTTATTCATACATGTGACAAGACCTTGTTATTATTAAAGTAGTTATATAATAAACTGGATATATTTATGTGAAATAATTCCCCGGTGAACAATGAAGCTCTCTCAAAGAAGCGTCGTTGTAATATATTTCACATCCAATCACCCATCGTGTTCAGATTTAACAGGTTTTCATTTATGTTTGACATAGAGATTGCAACAGACTTAGTTTGTGATTTCTTTTGTTTTCTGTTGCATCCAAGCAGATTCTTCAATATATAATTGAACCCTTTCTTTTGGCGTATTGTTATGTGTGGCATATTGCAACTGCAAATTTGCTGTATTGCAAATCTAGGATCCCATAAATCAACGCCAGAGATGAATAATTCCCGATTACCTGTCTAAAAGGATATTAGTGAAATTGATATGAATTGATCACTTAAATGATAATTACCAACATTCACAGCATTAATACAACTCGTGGAATATACGTATTTAAATGTCAGTCGTCAATAATTACGGAATACTCGAGCATGTCTAACGTTCGGTACAAATGAGATCGTAAAACAATAGCATAACTGCTCTCTTATTGATGCTTTATTATTTGTATGCGCCAAATGTACGTTCAACGCTGTCATCGCCATTGTCTCTGACCGTCCTCTTTACAAATTCAGAAATTTAACAGCAAAACCTAAACGTTTCCGATAAATTATTCAAGGTTGACAATACGCCAAGTCATGTAGATATTAGTTTCACCCTATTTCAAAACTACGTTTGTCACCGAGAGGTGACTGACGTTCAGGAATAATCCAGCAGCGGAACACAAGAAATGGTCTTCTTGGTTGCTGGGAATGGAACGCTTGAATCACTAACCTTCTTAGCGATAAGAGTTCAAAGATCGGCGCAAACAGTACATAAGGAGGTTCTTGAGAGGCATATAGAAGTTGGTATTCAAGTATAAGACAAATTATTATGGATGTCAACTTCTTCTTTATTGTATATGTTACAGTGAATATGTCAAATCAGAGATTTTGTAAAATCACTGAAAATTTCAGGGATTTTATAAAATTCCTGATTCACTCAGTGGTTCACAAAATCCCTGAAAATCACGACAATTTTTGGACATATTCCCTGAAATGAATATATCGCATTCTCAGTGTTTGGTTTGACAATACTGCTTGTAAATATTGCATGTATATACAGTAACCAAAGATGAACAATATAAGGAAGTGAACAATACTCAATACAATGGCCATTACTGACAACGGCATGTACACACTTGCTGTAAAAGCCGGTGTCTTGTGTGGAAAGTATTCACGCAACCAGTTTGATGTGTGTGCCACATCTCTCTACACAATTTTTTGTTAAATCCCTTGGAATTCCAGGGATTTTGTGAAACCACTGAGTGAATCAGGAATTTTATAAAATCCCTGAAAGTTTCAGTGATTTTACAAAATCTTTGATTTGACATATTCACTGTAACATATACACGACGTTTCTGGGCTTTTCATCGCCCCCTTCATCAGGTGAATGAGGAGTTTAAGTGTTTCCAGTTTAAATTAAATATCGTATTTATCGCTCACACTTTTATAGCCTACTCACGGGAGGACTTACATACGACATACATTAGAAAGAAAAGAGAAATACGCAAACAGAACTGAGCAGTTGATTTTCTGGTCCATCGATCGATTGTCTAAAGGATGTTATTGCATGACAGAATTGTGCGGCATCTGAAAATAAATAAAATTAATATAATTTGTTATGCATTTCACATAAACATTTGTATACGTTTCCCTGTTATGATGCCTTTCGTCCAGTCCAGTCCAATCTGTTGATGATGGATAAACGAGATTTATTTTCCCAGCGGGCACATCAACGTTGTTCCAACGTAGAGAATAGGTTGGTCCTCAACGTAGAAATTAGGTTGAAAATAGGTTGTATATGAAAGTTTTTTAGACGTAGATATCCGACGTGGAATCAACGTATAAGTTTGACATATTATTAACGTTGAAAAAAGGTTGTATGTGAAAGTTTTTTAGACGTAGATATCCGACGTGGAATCAATGTTGAAGTTTGACATATTATTAACGTTGAAAATGGGTTGTTCCGTGGTCGTGTATGGGAGTTTTTTATATAGAAATCTAACGTAAACACGTGAAAATTCAACCAAGGTTACAATACATGTATTCCGTATTCCTCTAAATAACCTCGCATTTCATCTTTAAACTACACTAAGGTAGCACTTAACTCTTGCATCCAATTAAAATACCCCAAAAAGGCTACCTGCAATAAACAGTGAAACAGAAAATTACAGTAAAAATATTTACCTCATAAAATACTTTATTTCACATTCAATATAGTGTTCATTTAAGTTTTATGTCAGTTGGATATAATTTCAGTAAGAAGGAAAGAGTATTCCAAATTAAGAAAAACTATTTACTGTTGTATTGTTATCTTGAAAAGGTGGAAATTGCCCCGAGAAGACATTTGTGCTGAATTTCAGCTATTAGATAGACCCCTGAATAAACACAATGCAATTACTTTCACCATGCAAGGAATCCAAGATGACCATGAACTATACCTGAAGACAGAACATAAAACAAGTCACTTTTCATGAAATCTTCGTACATGACATTCTGTAGGTGAGCTCTGTTGGTGATAATAACACAATATCATCTGCATTTATCATTAAACTAACATTCACGCCAGCAATTTCAATGTCACACCTCTGATCTTTAAACACAATTATAACTCCAAAACACACAATTAATAGATCCTCTTCTTTCTGCCACTCCCACCATGAGGGTCAGGTGCACACTTCAGAAAGGTTCCTAACTCTTTCTTGAAATTTGCTTCGGTTACATTCCCATCGGGAGATAGGACACATTCTGAAATATTTATATGTAAAAATACATAAATTTTATATGGAAGCTATATTGTCTTAAATGATTCAAGTATTTGTTAATTCAATCACAAGAAAGGTTCACTTCACTGCTGTAACTCGACATGTAAAAACATACAGCATCCACACAATATATGAGGAAAAGTACTTTTATAATGTAAACAATTTATATTTTCAAGTAAATGAATCGAAGTGTTCTAAAATTTTCAAAGAAAATCCTCAATTGCAAACTGATTATTCAATTATACTATGAATTAGATTGATTTAAACGATGCTTTACTGTCATTTATTATTTGCTATGGCCATGATGAAAATGCTGACAAAGAGCACTTGGTAATTAACTTACCAGAGATGATTGAATACAACCTTGTATTCTTAAAAGAAAACTTGCCGTTTCGCCCATCAACATTCATTCTTGACATCAAATTGTTTGACATTGTCCTGTAAAACAATGGAAGTTTGTTGTTATTCTGTCAGACTTAGTTTTCTTTAGAGATGCCCGGAGATGAGTATTTAAAAATTAGATAGGTGTTGTACTGCTGTAGGAATTTTGCTAACAGGAGTCATAAATTGGAACAAAAGCCATTTATTACATTAAAGGATGAGAAAACAAAGTGGTTGGTAATAAAAGTGCGTTATCATCGTTCTCTTAATCTTTGTGATGGAGATACTGGTAAACAAGTGAAATGTTAAAAACTTGTTATTTTAGCATTGCTCTCTTCATGTGATCCACAAAATTGATGCCACTCAATTATCGAAGATGAGATTTCTTCAAATTCAATTAAAGTTAAATCTTATTTTTCATAATTAAACGTTCCTATATAAATTACTTCTTTTATATGTAACATTTTAACCATTAAGGATGTAAATGATCACAATCCCTTCCAAATCAGTGTAAGAATTAAAGTCTATGGGTGCAGTTTTGTTAACTGTCCCTTCAAAGAATCATTAATGAAGTTACATTTTGTAAATAAAGAAAAGTTTTAAAAAATTATATACAATTTCACCCTTCACAATGACATGCACAAGACATTTTATTGTGAATTTTCGTTGCATGATCTGAGAAAGATTTCCTTCCTTTCGCCATTCTCCATCCCCATCCCCACCCCACGCACCCCAAAACCCACAATTAATATACACACGCTGACAGAGTTCAGAACGTCCACTGCTCAATGCACAATTTACTCCTAGATCTATTCAAACGAACAGATTTTCGTACTAATGTGATATAATATAAAATATTAATAGATTCTATTTGATTTCGTATAGCATTGATATAATAAAATGCCAAATATATGCATGCAGATATTTTGAAAAATAACAAAACAAGTTCATGGAAAACATGGGCTTCCACGAAATTGAGAAACACGTACATGACATACCGGTAACCTTGTGAGATAACCATGAGCCCTAATTCGGAGTTTCCTGCTACATGAACATGCTAGATTTAAACAACATTCTTGCGTGTTCATTATACATGAATGAAATACTTACCAAATAAACACCATCATGCTGAGAAGCTATTGAAAATAAAACGATGTTCCGGTGAACTTCGCCAAAGTGAAACGACGAACTGACAACGATCTACTGTCTTTGCGCGCGCGATAAATGTACGCATGTCCGGATATGATCAACAGAGGCGATCGAAAGGTCAACATCTGGAATGTGTTTGACAGCAAATTGTCGGGAATTATAAGATTTTGAAAGTTTTGTTGGAAAATATGACATTTAATGCAATTCGGATAACTGGTCACTTTATACCTAAAGTCATTGATTTTTTTCATTTTCAATTATGATTTACGTAACATTTCCGTCCGTTGATCGATGCACAATCATACAATATATTACATTATATCTTGGCCTAGGTCGATCTGGATCTTTTATCAAATTAATGTTCAGAAATGATAGTTGCTAAGCTGGATACCTATTACCAATGTATATGTAACAAATATACCCAGGAAACAATTAGTCGACATTTCGTTGGTTCCTTACGTCGAAACAACGTTGACAACTAAACGAATCTCGACTAAGTTTCTTTGGTCGCATGATAAACGTTGAATCAACGCTTATGAAAGGTTGATCAACCAAACAACCACAAGTCAACATTGATTAAACGTTGACTCAACGTTTTGTGCCCGCTGGGTTTCATTTTGTGTCGATATTGTAACTGCACAACGTTTACAAGAAATTGCAAAATAATAACCGAGAAAGGTATGATTCTTTAAGGACAACTTCTTTGTTATATTATGATGCGACATATCCGTATAAATTATTATAATACCAAACAGAAAATTACAACTATTTAAAATTTATAGATTGTTTTTGAAAAGCGAGTATAAACTTCATTGACTTACAAGGTAAGACTGTGAAATTATATTGATTTTCTGGCATATGTAAACTGCAGGTTGTCGAAAGGTATATTCAGTAAAAAGAATATATAATCACACAATACTGCACACTTTTTGTCATGTTGCAGAAAACATAACTGTAACTGGCAATACCATCATGGCTGTCGAAGGAACGTATAGCATCAACACAGGAAAGATTCAAACTTTCGGAGTGGCTGACTACACCATTACAGTCGCCATGTTAGTGTCTTCAGCCGCCATCGGGGTCTTCTACGTCATCAAGGACCGTCACCATAACAACGTAAATGAGTATCTGTTAGGAGGGCGCCGGATGCACTATATCCCAGTGTCAATGTCACTGCTGGTGACGTACCTCTCGGCTTTATCATTGCTGGGAGCACCCGTGGAGGTGTACAGAACCAACACCATGTTGTTTTGGTTTGGAATCTCTGTTGCTATCGGTTGTGCGGTAGTTGGTAGAGTCTTCCTACCCTTCTTCTATCAACTCGGCATCACCAATGTCTTCCAGGTGAACTATAATAGCCTTGCTGAAATGGAATTAAACTACGCTTATATCGAACAGGCGGATATATTGAACTAATTTTTGTTGTCATCCTGTCCACTTGCCTTATACTTTAGTCGAAATGCTTAACGAGCTATGGTTATAACGAATTACAATTAGTGGTCCCTCTATGTTTGGTATGACCCTAGTTATCTCCAACTAAGTCATTGTATTTAAGTCAAGTTTAACCGATGTTGTTTACATCCAAATACTCTTGTAATAAAACAGTGACACTAATAAATATTTGTTCTCCTTGGTGAATGACAGGAGAACACAGACACAAGATACACATATGTCTATGGCGTACCTCATGAGTACAATGTGTGAAGCCCATTTCTAGTGTTATCCACAGTTATTGCTTGGATAATGCTAAAAGCGATGTAAACCCTGACTCACTCACTAGTGTCATAGTTCATGATGGTTTTGTCTTGCATGGCATGGTTACATTGTTGTGGAACTTAAAACATGTGTACCCATTTTTCTTTTTCAGTACTTAGAGAAGAGATTTGGCAAGCGAGTCCGAACACTTGCGTTGACCTGCTTCCTCATCCAAGCGGTAATCACCAAGTCACACTTACTTTTGCAATGCCTTATAAGGCGACCCGTGAAGATCCGCGTTAGAATTGATCGTCAGTAACCCATGCTTGTCGTAAGAGGCAACTAACAGGACCGGGTGGTCTGGATGGCTGACTTGGTTGACACATGTCATCGGTTCCCAATTGCGTAGATGGATACTCATGCTGATGATCACTGGATTGTCTGGTCCAGACTCGATTATTTACAGACCGCCGCCATATAGCTGGAATATTGCTGAGTGCGACGTAAAACTAGACTAAACTCACTCACTCACCTTATAAGGCAATCGATGAATGCAAATAGACAGTTATAACACAGATGAATAATTAAGACACTGGTTTTCACCACGTACGAATGTACAGTTACAGTAAACAGTAAACAGTAAACAGTAGCGAGTTTGATGTTACTCTGCTTTTTAGACATCGTCAAGGCATCGTCAAACACCTTGAACAGGAATAAACTTTCGTATTTCAATGTAAATGGGTTATAATGGCGTTTTCCTTATGCATGTACGACAAACAAGAGTATTCCTCAGAGTCACTTACACTATTTTTCTCAGTAGGAAAATGGATAATTTAAATTTTAACTTTCAGAGTGGAAGATAAGGCTTTCGTTGGCCACATCAGATTTCATTCCCAACTACTATATCAATACGGCTGAAAGCCCGCGTAAAAACTAATGCAAAATGCCCAGGTTCGAATTTTATTCGGCCTTCGTCGTATCCCTACAGTAGCTTATATCTGATACCCTGATCTTTCATTCCATTTATTATTTTCTTCACAGCTTTTCTACACGTCTGTAGTTGTCTATGCCCCGTCACTGGCTGTCAGTGCAGGTAGGAATGAATCCGAAAATTGTATTTTTTAAAACTCGGTTTCATTACCAGATTTAAGCGTCACTAAGACACATTTTATGAATATGTATGAACACTAGTCTGAGTTCGGTTGCTCCTAAAAAGATGAATTCGAAGTATCTTGTCTGTGCAAGTCACAGCAAGTATTAAACGAGTAGTATTTTAGCCCCGTATCTTTTTTTACTTTGACCATCAAAGATGATACATTCGCTTCTGTAATATTTACGTTTTATTGAAGCAAACAAGACATGACTTTCTGGAGATAATTTTTAGGTCAACATGTAGGGACTTGCTTAAAGTATCATTATTGGACCTTGACAATGTTGGTAGTCCATTATTCAGTATTGCATTTTAATACACTAGAGTAACAACCGAACCATGTCTTGCAACAATGGCATTGGCAGCTCTGTATTCTTACAGTCACGGGGTTCAACGTCTGGGGAATCGCCATTGTCCTGGGAGCAGTAAGCACTATATACACAGCGCTGGTGAGTACAATAGCCATTTGTCTAAGTGTCTTCACGTGGGACAGACGGTATTTGCAGGCAACACCTTATATATGGTGTAAAATTCGTATTGCGGAGAAGTGAAAAGCACCACTTCCAAATACATGCCACGCTAAGGATTCCTGTGAAAATTAGGTCTCCCGTGTACAACGCATGCTATCCATTCGATTCTTAGGGTAGATCCTAGTATTACGTCCCCTGTATCCGGTACATACCACCCGCTTGATTCCCATGAACATTCCTATTCACCTATATTCAGTACATGCAGTCAGCTGGATTCCCGTGAAAATTCCTATTCTCCTTTATCCAGTGCAAGCCACCCGATGGATTCCCGTGAAAATACGTTCCTTTATATCCAGTGCATGCCACCCGATGGATTCCCGTGAAAATTACGTCACCGTGATATCCAGTGCATGCCACCCGCTTGATTCCCGTGAAAATTTCTATTCACCTATATCCAATACATGCCATCTGCTGGATTCCCGTGAAAATTACGTCTCCTATATCCAGTGCATGCCACCCGATGGATTCCCATGAAAATACGTCCCCTTTAAATCCAGTGCATGCCACCCGCTTGATACCCGTGAAAATTTCTATTCACCTATATCCAATACATGCCATCTGTTGGAGTCCCGTGAAAATTATGTCTCCTATATCCAGTGCAAGCCACCCGCTGGATTCCCGTGAAAATTATGTCTCCTATTTCCAGTGCATGCCACCTGATGGATTCCCGTGACAATTTCTATTCACCTATATCCAGTACATGCCACCCGTTGGTTTCCCGTGAAAATTAAGTCCCCTATATCCAGTACATGCCACCCGCTTGATTCCCAGGGTAGATCACGCACCCATTACACCATGCATACCATCCGCCGGATTCTTTTAGCAGATTACATCATCTGTATATGACACCATGCATAAAACGTTTATGAATTTTCAGCCAGAAATATATATTGTATCCACCACACTGTCTATAATTGATCACATGTAGTTGTTTTTACGCATCTCCTCTCTAGGGTGGTATGAAGGCCGTGTTGTGGACGGACACTCTCCAAGGCAGCATCATGGTGATAGGCTGCGTTGTCCTCGTTGTCAAAGGCTCTGCGGCTGTGGGTGGATTCAGCAACGCCTGGGCAATTGCCGAAAACAGATCCCGGATCAAGATAGATGAGTAGGATACAGTTGACTTTTTATCGTCTCAAAATGCGTTTTAATGTTTTAAACAAACCCAAAACTACCACTACTTTATGCAAAAACATTGATGTGTCGTACGCTTGACATTGGATTATATGGTCACCTTATGAGGCTATATGTTTTGTTCCCTTGAGAATACATCTGATATCATTTGGTCAGTTTCAGATCGCGATGTTATGTTCGTGTATGGACGTTTATCTGTATTATTCAATCTTCAAAAATACACGTGTACCTACGGCAGTAGACAGTGAAAGATCCATTCGTTACCCTTGTAGCTTCAGCTTCGATCCGAAAACCACGCACTCGGTTTGGGCGTACCTGTTTGGAGCTGGAACCATGTGGGTGGGGACATATGGTACTCAGCAAGCGGAGGTGCAGAGGGCACTGTCTTGTTCAAGTCTCAGAAGCGCTCAGATGTAAGTTGGAGTAATTGGCTAGTGAGTTTCAGGAACATTACGGAGTGGAGGCCGTTGACGTTTGTAATTTAGTGAAATGAAGGGTTTACTCAGGGAATCGAATACTTGATTTGCGGACCCTGGCAGGTAATGTTCCTCTTGTTGGCACAAATGATGCCGGACAAACCAATTTGTTTGTGTTTCTGCTGATTTGCTGACCAATTACTAAGGTACGTCTGGACAGTTTGGTTGATACGTTTCTGTGTGCCTTGGTAAGACAAAGGTGCTGGCACTTTGGATGGCCGAAGTCTCGTTCTTTGCACACTCGCAGAGCTGATGGCAATCTTGGCATTTTACTGGTGTGCTCTTTCTAAACGTTCATATTGTTAATGACTTCCAAAAAATCGCACATCGCATTAAAGCTTTCTTAGATTTTTCCTAACGATACAAACTAGATGGTTACGTTTGAAATTTGTTCATAAACCTATTTAATGCGTTTGTACACATTTTGGAAACATCCCCCAAATGCCACGTGCATACTTTCTTTCTTTCGTAAAGCACTGTAAAAAAGCCATCGATATACACAGTTGGCATACGATGACATGTGTCAACCATGTCACCGAGACTGACCACCCGATCCCTCTTACGACAAGCATGAGTTACTGACGATCAATTCTAAGCCGGATCTTCACGGGTCAGCAAGACATGAGAAAAACGACCTTGGAGAGTTTATGAGGTGGAATGGAGCTATGACAGAAGGTTCCAAAGCACCATACCCGTATGATTAGCTTTCACCAGGAAATGACACACATGTACTGCACTCTGAACACTTAGCTTGTAACCTGAATATCCAATGGTATCTGTTAGGCCGTCCGTATTTTTTCTGTGTTTCTCATCTCCCGACCGACCCAAATTTTCCTTCCGACGGAACAAAAAATTATTTTTTTTATTTTACAAAATGTCGCCGACAGCAATAATTTCAGCCTGATCAAAGGAAAAATGTGCCTTAAAATATAATATTTTGAAAAGTCTCTCAAACATCTAAATGGGCGATCTTTTTTATTTTCTTCCCTTCACTAATCCGCTTGGAGCGCTAATCTGGACGGTCCAACCTTAAACTGACAGCGCATGTCTTATGCGCGGTGGTAGCTGTACTTGTTACTAAACACTTCGAGACAGTTAACCTGTACAGCCTTCACCATCACCGTTAACGTGTGTGTTATCCTGACATATTTGTTATGTGATTCCATGATACACCGGGGATAGCCATGACTGCTTATATTCCATTAATGAATCGCAAAATGGCCATTCGTAGAGAGGCGGTGGAATCAACTGATCGTTTTGTTGACGTTTTGCACTTGGTAATTCAAATCTGGCACAAGATGTCTGAATATCACACTTTTAAGCCTGCAGTGTAATTTTGCATTTGTACTCAAATCTATATCGTATTATGCCGATAAGGCTACATTCATGTAATTCAGTATGGTCGGGAGCTGATATTGTGCGCGAAATGTGGAAACATTGTTATGCAACGTGTGAATTTCGTCGTGAATTTTATCTGATATTTTTGTATGATGGTGCGTGTGTACTTTAATATTATATTGCACATGCATGACTTTATTCAGTCATTGTACATAAGTATTTATCTTTTAAATTTGTAAAAAATATAAATAATGCATACACATATCTACATGGAATTTATGTCACCATAAACATATTTGATTTTAAACACATTTTCTATGTTAACACATCCTCTTTTGAATGGTCAGAATGATCCGTTGTTTGTTGAGACTAATCTCTGTAAAAGGGTACTTATTTAGAGGTTGAATGGTGCTAAACTTTTGTATGAAATGGATCAATGAATTAACATATATAATGACTCACAGCACTGACTGATGGGATCATTTTATAAGGGCTAAATCTTTTATTTCAAACTATGCTGACTGGTATTTATGCTGCAACCGACTAATTGGATAATAGGTGTATGGTACAATAAGTATGCGTCAGAAACATAGTGTCAGAATTTAACAACAAAATAAAATGTGTGAAGAAATGCTGATCAAAACGTACTACTCATTTTTATAATTAAAGGTTACATTCTACACAGAATTTCTTCAATTGTCAGGGATGTGTAATAATCACAAATTTGCGATAAAGGTCTGCCAGGGGATACAGGTCCATTGGTTGGAGGTGTATCTCCGATTCTTTTTACGTTGAGGTCGGTGGTAGTATGAGAACTATTAGTGAAATTTGAATGCGGCAATAGTTCGGAAATAACATAAGGGCTGATATATAAAGTGAGTTTACATTTTTTCATAGATGATATGACACCCGAGACTTACACTGTCTCGTGTTCTGTCCTACGAAATGCCGTGACAATAAACCGATTTTTCATGGCGTTTTCCCGTTATCTTCTATCGTGTCAATTCGAATTGCGCTTGGAAACTAAACAAACTGTGGACCTGCAACCAGTGTGCTGCCAGTGGACGACAGCCTTTGACCGGTGGCCAAAAAAAGCGACAAAAAGTGATAAATATCTCCAAAACAAAAGAAAGTGCCAGTTTTGAAGAACTGACTTTGTTGTATTCTGATCCAATGTGACATTTAAAGAGGCTCTATTAAAAGTTTGTAGCATAATTAATTTAATTAAGGGTCAATACATGCTTTCTCTCAGGATTCCTTATAGTTTCCTTTTGTTTAATGATATATGAACTGTCTAAAATTGAGGGGAAAAAAGATTCTCACAATAAGAAAAGCCTCTTTTTATGGTCTGGGTATTGTAGGAGGGTCATTTTCTGTCACCAGCTTTTTTTTTCGCCCGCCCGCCCCTCATCAGCACCAGTTTGGAGATGAGAAATGTAGATGGCCTTATATCAAACACATATACGCAGTTCTTGTTGGTTTTCAGAGCTCTGGGAATCAATGCAGTAGGCTACATGATAGTTTATATCCTCCTGGTAATGGTCGGTGTGATCATGTTCGCCTTCTACAGCGACTGTCACCCCGTCAGCTTCAACATCATCGACAAGGACGACCAGGTACGTCAGCACACACGTCACATTTGGCAGAATAATTCAGTTCAACGTATTTCTATACCTGTCCTTAAAAGTGTAATATTTAAATCGTATAGCTTGCCAACAAACAACTGTCAACCGCTCTGTTTCATTTTACGCACATATAACACAGTAGTGCATACATTATTTTAGTAGCTGAACAGCATTACCCCAAGATAATGAAACATATGGGATACAGTATATGTGTCATGTATTGAAGGAAAAGCCAGTATGTATATTTCCAGAAGTGCAAGAATGAGTATGACTATATTATTATGTTGTTAGAAGCGTTGGATATCTGTGTATTAAATGCATTGTGTGTGGTATTACCTTTTCTGTTATAAGATTAAATGAAGGATCTACATTTATGGAAAATAACTCACTCCTTGATTACCTCATGATGTCTTGGTAATAAGAACTGTTGATCACAAACACCTGGATTCAACTTTCGGTTTTGTTTTATGATGCGACTTATAGAGCTATTTTGCATTTCCGAAATACCATGTTTGACAAAACAACTCTATGGACCTTATAGTAATGCTGAGAATGATGACAAGTCAACAAGTTCAATCTTCCCTGAACACGTTGTAAAGTATCTATTAATTTGAAACCTATCTGTCTTCAGCTGCTTCCACTGATGGTGATGGACATCCTGGGAGATGTGCCGGCGTTGCCGGGACTCATCATATCTTCCATATTGTGTGGGAGTCTCAGGTACATACTGTTTGGGAGTCTCAGTTCCGTAATATGGGAGTCCCAGGTACATATTGTAGTAGTCTCAGGTACATAATGTAGTAGTCTCAGGTACATAATGTGGGAGTCTTAGGTGCTTAAAGTGGGAGTCTCAGGTACATACTGTTTGGGAGTCTCAGTTCCGTAATATGGGAGTCCCAGGTACATAATGTAGTAGTCTCAGGTACATAATGTGGGAGTCTCAGGTACATAATGTGGGAGTCTCAGGTACATAATGTGGGAGTCTCAGGTACATAATGTAGGAGTCTCAGGTACATAAATGTGGGAGTCTCAGGTACATAAAGTGGGAGTCTCAGGTACATAATGTAGTAGTCTCAGGTACATAATGTGGGAGTCTCAGGTACATAATGAGAGAGTCTCAGGTACATAAAGTGGGAGTGGGAGTCTCAGGTACATAAAGTGGGGAGTTCTCAGGTACATAATGTGGGAGTCTCAGGGGAGTCTCAGGTACATAAAGTGGGAGTCTCAGGTACATAATGTGGTAGTCTCAGGTACATATACATAAAGTGGGTCTCCAGGTACATAATGTGGGAGTCTCAGGTACATAATGTAGTAGTCTCAGGTACATAATGTGGAAGTCTCAGGTACACAAATGGGGAGTCTCAGAGAGTCTCAGGTATATAAAGTCAGGAGAGTATCAGTACATAAAGTGGGAGTTTTCAGGTACATGGACAGCGTTGCCTGGGCATCATATCTTCCATAGTGGGAGTTCATAAAGTAATATGGGAGTCCCAGTCATATTGTAGTCATATGGGAGTCTCAGGCAATGTAGTAGTAGGTATGGGGAGTCCCAGGTACATAATATAGGTACATAATGTGGGAGTCTCAGGTACATAAAGTGGGAGTCCCAGGTACATAATGTAGAAGTCTCAGGTACATAATGTGGGAGTCTCAGGTACATAAAGTGGGAGTCTCAGTTACATAATATGGGAGTCCCAGGTACATAATGTAGTAGTCTCAGGTACATAATGTGGGTGTCTCAGGTACATAAAGTGGGAGTCTCAGGTACATAATGTAGTAGTCTCAGGAACATAATGTGGAAGTCTCAGGTACATAATGAGAGAGTCTCAGATACATAAAGTGGGAGTCTCAGGTACATAAAGTGGGAGTTTCAGGTACATATTGTTCGGGAGTCTCAGTTACGTAGTATGGGAGTCCCAGGTACATAATGTAGTAGTCTCATGTACATAATGTGGGAGTCTCAGGTACATAATGAGAGAGTCTCAGGTACATAGAGTGGGAGTCTCAGGTACATAAAGTGGGAATTTCAGGTACATATTGTTCGGGAGTCTCATGTACATAGAGTGGTATTCTCAGGTACATAAAGTGGGAGTCTCAGGTACATAATGTGGGAGTCTCAGGTACATAAAGTGGGAGTCTCAGGTACATAAAGTGGGAGTCTCAGGTACATAATGTGGGAGTCTCAGGTACATAAAGTGGGAGTCTCAGGTACATAATGTCAGGTACAGAGTGGGAGTCTCAGGTACATAATGAGAGAGTCTCAGGTACATAGAGTGGGAGTCTCAGGTACATAAAGTGGGAGTTTCAGGTACATATTGTTCGGGAGTCTCAGTTACGTAGTATGGGAGTCCCAGGTACATAATGTAGTAGTCTCAGGTACATTATGTAGGTGTCTCAGGTACATTATGAGGGAGTCCCAAGTACTTAAAGTGGGAGTCTCAGGTACATAAAGTGGGAGTCTCAGGTACATAAAGTGTGGGAGTCTCAGGTACATAATGTAGGCGTCTCAGGTACATAAAGTGGGAGTCTCAGGTACTTAAAGTGGGAGTCTCAGATACACAATATCGGCGTTTCAGATACATATTGTAGCAGTCCCAGGTACATAACTTAGGAATCTCGGGTACATAAAGTGGGAGTCTGAGGTACATAATGTAGGAGTTCCGGGTTCATAATATGGGTGTTATATGCTGTAGGAGTGACAGGTACATAATGTGGGAGTCTCAGGTACATACTGTGTATGTCAGCTACACAACATCGGTGTCTCAGATACATATTGTATCAGTCTAAGGTACATAACGTAGGAATCTCAGGTACATAACGTGGGAGTCTCAGGTACAGGTACATAATGTAGGAGTCCCGGGTTCATAATATGGGTGTTACATGCTGTAGGAGTGACAGGTACATAATGTGGGAGCCTCAGGTACTTAAAGTGGGAGTCTCAGGTACACAATGTAGGGGTCTCAGGTACATAAAGTGGGAGTCTCAGGTACAGGTACATAATGTAGGAGTCCCGGGTTAATAATATGGGTGTTACATGCTGTAGGAGTGACAGGTACATAATGTGGGAGCCTCAGGTACTTAAAGTGGGAGTCTCAGGTACACAATGTAGGGGTCTCAGGTACATAACGTGGGAGTCTCAGGTACAGGTACATAATGTAGGAGTCCCGGGTTAATAATATGGGTGTTACATGCTGTAGGAGTGACAGGTACATAATGTGGGAGCCTCAGGTACATAAAGTGGGAGTCTCAGGTACACAATGTCGGGGGCTCAGGTACATATTGTGGGAGTCTCAGGTACAGGTACATAATGTAGGAGTCCCAGGTACATAATATGGGTGTTACATGCTGTAGGAGTGACAGGTACATAATGTAGGAGCCTCAGGTACTTAAAGTGGGAGTCTCAGGTACACAATGTAGGGGTCTCAGGTACATAACGTGGGAGTCTCAGGTACAGGTACATAATGTAGGAGTCCCGGGTTCATAATATGGGTGTTACATGCTGTAGGAGTGACAGGTACATAATGTGGGAAAGGACTTTCATGAACATAATGTGGGAGCCTCAGGTACATTGTGTGTGGCAGGTACATCAGATGCATAACATGCTGTGGGAGTGACAGGTGCATAATGTGGGAGCCTCTTGTACATAATGTGTGCTTCTTAGGTAGTTACTTATCCTTGGTTAACATTGGAGTCCCAGGAACATAAAGTGGGAGTGGGACCCTAGGTTCATAAGGAACGGGAACATGTTAATTATGTTGAATCTCAGGTACATGCTGTACGGTCACAGGTTCATACTTTGGGGTATTCACAGGGACGTTTGTGTTTCTGGTAACACTGTACACTATGCGGGTTGTCAGATCAGATTCCTTTGATCGATGTTATATCATGACATTGTTGCACAAAATTATACATTTATCCATAACAACACTTTTGTGGAAAACAAACTACGAGCTGATAATTTTGATCAACAGTGTACTCATAATAAAACATCCGACTGACACACTTTTTCCGTGTTTCTCTTTATCTGCAGCACAATTTCAAGCATCTTGAATGCTCTGGGAACGGTGATACCGGATCAGCTCATCAAGCCTTACTTCCTGAAGCATCTCTCAGATAAAGGAGATATGAGACTTGCTAAACTTTCAGGTAATGTATGAAAAGTTTAAGTTAACTGTCATTCTGGCCTCGACATATTTTAGATACAACATATGTTACTACATACAAGACCCCTGTACAATACAACTATCCCTTATATATTCAGGTATTAACATTTATGCATATCGTCCCTCTCAGGGACGAGTACTTCAAAAAAGCATTTTCTCTTATTGCTGAAGATAGAAACTTGCAGTATAGACGTGAATGAAGCTGAATAAATTGTTTAGTGGTTGAACCATTTATTTTTCTTGTAGAGTTTAAGTTCTTTAAGCATGGCCACTTCCAGTTCGGCGATGTGTGAAGTAAAATGATTTTTTTATTGATCCCTATTTCAACTATGTAAGTTCATTAGAATGTGTTTAAAACTTTCGTCGTTCAAACAGAAAACTAAAATGAAAATGGTTTGCATTTTTTCCATACTCAATTTTCCGCCAAAGTACCGTTCCAAAAATGGGACAATATGCAGATAAGTGACCTTTAATTAGGTAATATATTAGGCTTAGGTGGGGTAGATCAACCTCTTAAATCTTAACATTGACTCTTTTCATTTGAAATTTGAAGTGGATGGAACCAAACTGGCTTTTATATGGAACTATGTGTATTAACAAATTGAAACCTGAACATTTCATGGGCATTCTTGATCCCATAAAATGTTTTCTGATGAACTGAACACCATAGTTGATGAATGTATCCCTAAGTCCTCTGCTGTTCCTCACATATGAAAACCATGGGTTTTCATATTACATTATCACATCCCAATACATTATTGTAAAATGAAAGAATATGATATTCTTTAATTTCGAGTAGCATATTTATTTTGTATATTATCAAGTTGTCTGACATTGGTTTTTTTCACCCAGTGCTTATTTGTGGGGTGGTAGTAATCTGCGCGTCATACGTCATCTCTTTAGTTGGTGCATTATTTCAGGTGAGCATATATTAATAGCAGGTTCCTTATGAACAAACAGTTCTGTTTCATGGCATTGTGTAATCGTAATGATTCTGTTTCAATTAATCCTTTTCGATTTGTGTGAAATACTTATCTAATGGGTCCAGACTCGATTATTTACAGACCGCCGCCATATAGCTGGAATATTGCTGGGTGCGGCGTAAAACTAAACTCACTCACTTACTCACTTATCTAATGGTTTGTGTTTCAGGGTGTGATGATGATAATTCCTGTTCTGCACGGACCCATGGCGGGCATATTCTGTCTTGCAATGTTTTGCCCATGGGCAAATAGAAAGGTAACATGTATCACATGTACTTTCGATGTCGATATCATTCTGACATATGACAGGACCATTTATAAAATAGCGCAGACACGTGGAGATGATATATAAGAGATTACAAGCTTTAGATTTCCCAAACAGTTTTTGGTAGACTATTGTGAAACCATTATGGTGCACCGTTAATGCTTGTATATAAGACGTTATATGATATTCTCCTTCCATCCTTTGGCAAAGGGTCGGTGAGGTGGCCTAATGGTTAAAGCGTGATATGGCTGGAATATTGCTAAAAGTGGCGAAAAACCATGCCCACTCACTCCTTTGTCAAAGGCCAGAGATTTACTCAGTGTATGTTTTTATAGGAAATTATGTTCATTAAGACTTTGATACATCATAAGATTGTGAAATGTTGATTAATTAATATTCAACAAAATGAAAAAACCCTCTTACATTTCGTAATTATGCTCGGTTAACTGTGATTATATGGTTCGAAGTTGTCAGTAAAATCATATAAAAATAAACCTCTTCATCGTTGACGCTATAGAAGCATGTCTTCATCATTGTTAGGAAATCCGTAAACTCGCACTGAAAAGCTTCTAATGGGATAGTTTGCTCTTATTTCAAAATTAAGGCGTTTGTTTACACAAAAACCGTAATGTGGTGAACATGAGTCGTTGGAGGCGCCATGGTAGGTCATCACTGAGAGTGAAAATGTGAAACAACAATAAGAAAGATTCCCGGTGTTTCATACAATACAATTCATTTCAGAGGAAACTTGTCTATGGCATTGCGAATCAAACATACACTGTACATTCCATGAAGGCCATACTTTATAGACTAGTTTATAAGATGTAAATCTTTCATACTTCATTTCATATAGTTGTTTCTTTCCAGGATTTATTCTATTTGTTGCTTTCGAGCGAAATATTTAATTTTTTAAAATACACGCATTTAATTTTCTTTAAACTCTTAAGGGGGCTGTGAGCGGATACCTGATGGGGATCTTCATCACAGCGTGGATCTGCTTTGGAAGCTTTGCGACCAGATCGCCATCACATTCAGTTACCTTACTGACTCACGGCTGCAACTGGAACCTCACCTTCTCCTCCAATAACGTAACCTCAGACACTACGACAGAGGCCATGATGTCACATGTTTCAGCAAACACGTCACACACGGAGTCACAGTACGTGACTTGATTGTAACATAGATCAACCAACCTATATCTATTTCTAAGATTTGTTTACAAATATATGATATCATGTCATCTGTTTACAATATCTTGACACATATGTTACAGAAAAAGACATGTTAACATGACTAAAGTTGTATGTCGATGAGTATATATCGAGTTTGCACAGCCAAAACAAATAGCCTTCAATGAATAATAGTATTATGAGTAGGTTCATTTATGTCAGACAATTCTTGGTCTTTGTTTCTTGAGATAAAAAGCAAAAGCAGACATATTGCCCCCTGGAAATGGTGTTTAAGTTTCTTGATTTAAATAATTGTATACGTACTTTCAAATGGACAGTCTGATAAGCTGTTGGACAGTCTGATATTAGCTTTGTTGAGCAGACAACTTTGTGGAGATGCAGTTTCTTGTTATCAAAAGACATACTTGATTCTTCAGATGGGTTTTCAGTTTCTTTAGAAAAGATAGACAAGCTTTGTAGACATACTTTGTGGAGATGCTTCATTTGAGTTTAGACATTGTGGATATGCTTATTTGAGTTTCTTGTTATCAAAAAGACATACTTGATTATGTGCAGGTGGGTTTATCGGTTTCTTTAGAAAAATGGTAGACAAGCTTTCAAATAGATATACTTCTTGATATTATCTGTATGTAGACATGCATGCGGAGATTCTTCTTTCAGTTTCTTGATGTAAGTAGCAGACATTCTTGCATGCAAAGATGTTTCTTTAAGTTTCTCGTTACGAATAGTACACATACGTTCTTTCAAAGACGTGTGATAAAAGTAAACAGAACGTCATCTAGAAATGGTTTAATTAGACTCCTGATATTTTAAAGATCGGTTCGTTTCTTCACAGAATATCGCCTAGAGATGCTTTGTATTCATACCGACGTGTATTTTGTTAACAGAGATCCCTTCTACCCGATGTATCGCCTGTCTTACCTCTACTACTCACTTGTTGCTACGGTGGTAGTCAGCGTTGTGGGATCCATTGTCAGTTTGTTGACAGGTATGTGACATGTATGACCTTTGAATAGAGATTTATGTTACGGGATTGGGATTCTAAATCTCCCCAGCGGTTCTGGATGAAATATATGAGAATAACTACCCTCGTGACTACTACCTACTAAAAAGCCGATTCAGTACAAGGAAAAGCATTTCTTTTCTAACAAACCAATAAACCTTTGGACATTAAACCCGTTAATACTAACTGATTAATGTTATGAGACCGAGGAGTATCAATACATTATCAATTTGGCTTGATGATAACATTTGATGATAACAAACGCGATGATGTTATTCTCCTTATCATTCAAACTTATTCTTCCTATTATTTTAGTCTGCAAACACTTATAACTAATATCTTCAGTGTGACAATACTGATAACAAGCTTCTGTGGCAGAGAAGTATTGGCTTCATTTCATTTTATTGCGGTGGAATGGATGACGTTACGATTGTCGGCAAAGCTTTGTGTTGCGATTTCGTTGTAGCATTATTTTCCATGACATCGCTTTATGCCAGAATTAGGCTTTGTTAAAACTAAGATGACTGTATGTATTCATGACATCTTGTACATCCTTGTTACGGTTAATTTCATTTCAACAAAGGCACACATTATATGTTACACACTACATGACGCATTCCTCGATAGGTCCAGTGAAACCTGAGTCCGTGGATCCTCGTCTGGTCTGTCCATTGTTTGACAAGCTCCTACCCTTCTTACCGGAACGTGTTCTCAAACCTCTCCGGTTTGGCGTTGACTATGAAGGGGTGAGTATGGCGATTGAAAACCAATATCACTACTGTCTTTGAAGATCGTTTTGGTTTCATCTGCAAAGGTGCAGACTAAGTTGAAAGTGACATGTGCTCAACAATTCATGTAAATATTTGCCATTTGCTATTGAAGAATCCGGAAGTGGTCTTAACTAGCCCATGCTTGTCGTAAGCGGCGACTAACGGAATTGGGTGGTCAGGCTTGCTGACTTGGTTGATGACTTGGTGATCATGCTGTCAATCACTGGATTTTCTGGTGCAGACAGGATTATTTACAGACAACAGTCACATAGCTGGAAAGATGCTGAGTGCGGCTTTAAAGAACAAACAAATCATACCATTGTATAATAATGGAGCAACAATGTAAGATTTTGAAGAATCATACTTACCAAAGATGTTTTACTATGGACTATTGGTGTTTTTAGAAATATAGTGAAACTGCAACAGATCATCATCAACATGAAGACGTCTCCGAGATGAAGGACAAGTTCATATCTTTACGCCACACTGCAGAAAACACCGATGAACACGCTGAAGATCTAACCTGGAATAAAAGATTGTAGAAGTTAATATACAAAACGGAACCTGTATAAGTAGAATATAGTATAGACTGAATTTCACATAAGAAGTGGAATATATTTGGTTGCCATGAATAATCTTGAGCTGCGAAGGGTCTTGTCTACATTGTTGCAGTTTCGATGTTGTTTGATTTGCATTGTATTGTATAAGAAATTGCCCACTTGTTATTTATCTGGACAGCTTAGCCTTTATTTCAAGCACGTCCAAATAGAAGCGACAAACCATGCCATTGTTCCTAATATATCATGATCAAGTGTTTATGAAATACTATTTAATAGTAATGGCACCAGGTGACTGGAGACAATGATAAGTGTATCCTGACCGTCAGGTGGGAACCGCCACATATACTGCAAAGGAAAGACATTTGGTCCAAGGAAAAGAAACATTCCCCTAACCATTCCTAGACCTGAGTTATTGTCCATTTGATTTATTGATCATGGACAAGATGGATTTGTTGGCATTGGGGTATGATATCTCCAATGAAAGCAGACTCCACGATCCTGACAATATCAGAAACACGTAACTGTTATGTTTGAGATTACAATACCTCTGTAAAGTACATATTCTGATCCTTATTGGCGTGATTCATATATATGATTCATTTGGTCCCTGAAAAAGCAACACAGGAACAAATAGTACAGGTCAAATAGGGACGTGCATCCGAAAGCATTTCTTTCACTGATGCGACAAATCTGAAAATGTCATCCGTTTGTCTACCATAAAAAAACAAAAACATTTTAAAGGCTTCACTTATCGCAAATCAAAAGTGCAATATTGTGTACTTGGGTTAACCTCCCTCGAAACGAAGCAGCCGGGATACCGAACCCAGTCAGAGCGGGTGGGTGTGCACTCAAGTGTAACGGCTGGTTCATTAGCAGATGCCGCCTTCACGGCTGGCTCATGATGTGTGTGTAGAGATGTTGGGTTTTGTAAATACATGCTAAATTTTTGTGTATAACATTTTGCAATCAACAGACATCATAACATGTCATGTGTTCAAGTATCACACCTGCCTGTCTATGTAATTACATAATGTGACAGAGACAGAACTCGGGCCATAAATCAATGCGTTTTGTTTATGGTGTATAGCCTGATTGGTGTTAAGTTCAAATTGCATGTGGTCAGTGATCGCAGTTGTGTATTGAATATTGTCATTAGCAGACAGGCAGGCAGACACACAGGTGTCAATAAAACAAGACATTGAGTTTTGTCTGTGACAACGACATATCTATATCACAGTTAGAAATTGTGTCGCTAAATAATGACATTGCTTTTAAGTATCGAACTGAGAAAGTGACGCGGTAAGAAGAACGTGTGGTGAAATAGACAATTGAAATTATATAAACATTTTATTTACTGTCATAACATAAAAAGCTCGCGCCTGTGAGATATCAACAAAACATTAGAAAAATAGCTCACACCAAAGCCTTCACCGAGTATTCACCCGACAACCCGCTTCCAAGCTGCGCGAACCTATTTACTTGCGCACGTGCTATGAGCGCAGCCCAGCTGTTGAAACCCGTATTCCCCAGAAAAGTCTGGGGAAAATTAGTGAAACGTTTGAACTCCGATTTCGCGCGTTTTTTTTCATTGCGTTATTTTTCAACTTTATAAGTTGAATTTGCATTTTTGACGATTTGTTTCGCTATGTCCATACCGAAAGGTATCAGAATCTGCAAAGTTGTGTTTTACGTTGCATGTGACCTTTAAACAAGTATAAAATTGCCTCAGATGTGTTGCAGAGTTGACTTATTGAGCAGTTACATGGTTCACATACCGCTGCTTTAAATGACAAAGCAAGCTAGGAAGAGAGCGTTTGCCCCCTTCCTCAACGTTATCCAGCACCCAGGTGAATCACGCTTATCTACGGTGATATCCTTCAAATTGACGTTAACATGTTACAACAGTCGTTCTCAGCCTTCCCAATAGGGATGACATATTCTTGACGACATATCCGTTAGAACCAGTGTGCGAAATAGTTTCCAAATTTTGCTAGCCACTCGGCCTAGCCATGCCTGAAAGTTACCAGTCCACAAAATAATTCACTTGCCCGACATTTGAATGTAGAAACTAGGCAAAAGATTAAAAAAATAGATGGGAAAAAGATATTTTACACGGTCCTATGGAAACACATGATGCTTTTACACGGGTTTCATCGTTAAGCTGCTAATGTGATAAACATTTTTATCAGGCCATAACGTTGCATGATTTAAAAGTGTACTATAACGTAACATGTCGGTGAGAGTGATATATTTACAAAATGGCCCCATGAAACTTCACGAGCCAGTCGGTCCAGTGACTATGCAGTTTTACTAGCCATTCTTAGAAACGGGAATATACTGTACACAAACTGTCTCCTGTTCCTTTTATAGCTAAAATCATACCTTAGGCTTGAAAGAGACCTATTGAATTGTTTAATACGTCAAACACATTTCGTATTTGCACCTTCATATGTAATTTCAATTTATCTAAAAGACAACAAACAACTGCCCTGATCTCACCACCAGATCGAACTCTCAGCTTGAGGCCGAGCTATAGTTGAGATGTTACTGTGGAGAGTCCACGCCATTACCCTGAGTAACGCGCCGAATCCCGTCTCTGGATCCGCCATAGATGATTATTCAGGTTATGTTCTGTGTCTTCATCTATGATGCGTTGTTATGTAAAAAGTCTGTTTTAAGTCAGACAAGTGTAAATGTGGTGTACAGTTTTTAGAGTTTACTGTATTTGTAATGTGCTGTTGCCAGTTTTATTTCATTTATGTGTTATTAAATAAACTGTCTATGTCATTTTCCTCCTTCGTTTGTGTGAGAGATCCTTCCTCAAAACGATACTTCTGTGCAATATTAACGTCGATAGAACTCTTATAAAGACGTCGCATATCCTGAATCCTTCTGTCATAGACTCGAAAGTGAACCCTGATTCGTCAGGAAATATAACATTTTGTCCAACGTCGATGATCTCAGCGCTGACGTCCCAACACTACTAATCCAAATGAGAGGCAGTACGGTCTGGGATGACACGTGGATATCATGCTTGCACATGCCACATGCACAGATGATTTCGCACCGTCTTGGCAGGTACTCCGCTGCCAACTGCCTGTCCCAACCGGTCCCTTATCTCAGTGGCATTTTGCAACCAGTTTCGAAATGCCAGCGGTGTTACTGATAAGTCCTGATCCGGAGTTACTGCCCACCGATGGGGTTATTGGTCATCGACCTGATGTGTTTGTTGGTATGGGGCATGATATCTCCGACGAAACCAGATTCCGTTGTACGATCCTGCCAGTCTCAGTAAACTTATTCTACTATACAGAGACTCCGCAGTATAGCAGAGTAACCAATAATACTGAGACTAAGTTTACTTAGACTGACGATCCTGACTATATCAGCAACATGTAACGTGTTATGTTTGAGATTACAATACCCGTGTAAAGTACACGTTCTGATATTGTTTGGCGTGATTCAGATCCATACTTAGATAAAGTCAGCTATTCGCCTGCACACAAAGCCAGCTATCCTACCCACTCAACAGCTTCCACATGCGACTGGAGTATGCACTTTACTGAGAAAGTGTATTTCAGCATGCATCATATGTTACATTTTATCATAAGCACGTGTTGCCATAGGACCTATGTTTACCACTGACGCGGTTTTGAAATGCAAACACATGTGTAAATTACAAATTTAAAGAGAATTTAAATCCTAACTGTCAGACCCTGAATTCAGTAATCTTGAGTAATACTTTAATGTACCATCGTTCCAGATTGCTCTCTATAATTGTCGTAGAATTATGGACTCTAACGGCTTGGCCTGCTTGGGAAGTTGACCTTTGGAATGTTGCTGTCATCCCTCATGTCTTACAGCCTTCTTAATAGTTTCAAGTGTTGTTACTCAGGATGCTTTTATGTCCAGGGCACATCAGTGGAATACGCGATGGAGTTGTTGTCGGAGATCAGATCATCTATATAAGTTGCTTAAGTAATCCTTTTGGTCAAAATCCCATGGATATCAGCAAGAAGGAGATTTAATTGATGCTCATAAAGACACCCCACAACGCCTATCCACGCCTACAAAGTACAACATGCATCCCTTAAACCATTTCCCCGTAACATCACGATTGAGAATGGGGGCTTCACACACGTAACCAAAGATGGGAATCGAACCCGTGCCTCTGTCGTGATGAGTAGGCATGTTTAACCACTTGTCTCCCCCTCAGGTGAAGTACATCAAATATACAACTGCTGTCCATTATATTATATAAGCTGTCAACTCTCCCTTGCTGGTTCTTGCATACTGTGTCAAAGTCATTCTCCGTCATGGCTAACAAAAGTTTGATTTTTGAACGAAAATAACCTAATCAGATTCAGTACCGAAAATATTATATTCACGTATGACTGCGTATTCGTCAGACGCGCATGGCATGAATATTATAAATTCAAATGAAAAAGGGCTATACATTTTCATTCGCTTTACATAGCTTTAAAGAACGTTTGACGCTTTGTTGGTATCGACAACTGTTGCCCGAACAGGAACAGGAACAGGAACAGTACCCTGGAAGCTTTAGTCCAGCTTCAACACCCAAGTCCAAGAGTTCGTAAGGTATGTCGATTTGAATCGTAGTCGTTAATAACATTTCTGCAGAAACATACGATATATACGTCTTTTGTTCATGGTTCGCCTAACAAAGTATATGCAGTAATGGTTCAGATATATTATTATTCATACATATATTGTACATTCTAAGGGACAAATACAATAATGGCAATGATTCTTAGGACTCGTATTGACAATAGACTACTTCTTGGTTGGGTAACTCTGCAACAGACGCTAATGATCTGTATTTATATGCACTTGTCCATGTATATATTGATCTCGTTTTGACGTTAGTTCTTTCGCTGGTCATTTGTTTTCATTCTATTGCATTACTGTTGGGATCATTCTAAGGCATCCATGTATATTTGGTTTGCAGATGTCATGTTTTTTTGTGTCGGTTTATTTCGGGTTTTTTTCATGTTATATGATTGACAGGTTGATTTGAGATCTTTTTTTCATATGTTCCAGAAAACATATCTGTGCCTTGATATCCCATCATGGTGGTCGAAGGAAGGTATAGCATCAACACAGGAAAGATTCAAACTTTCGGAGTGGCTGACTACATCGTTACCGCCGCCATGTTAGTGTCTTCAGCCGCCATCGGGGTCTTCTACGTCATCAAGGACCGTCACAATAACAACGTAAATGAGTATCTTTTAGGAGGGCGCCGCATGCACTATATCCCTGTGTCAATGTCAATGATGGTGACGTACCTCTCGGCTTTATCGTTGCTAGGAGCACCAGTGGAGGTGTACAGAAGCAACACCATGGTGGTTTGGTTTGGTGCGTCTTTAGCTGTTGGCTGTGCAATAGTTTCCAGAACCTTCGTGCCCTTCTTCTACCAACTCGGAATCACCAATGTGTTTCAGGTAGAAATTAACTCCTTTTCCTTTTTGACTATATATTCATGGAATATAGTTTAGAGATCTCTTAAACTTGCATCTGATTTGTTCAGGGAAGATAGTTTAAATAAACTGCGGATCTCTGAA